CAAAATACAATATAAATAAATCTATCAAACCTTCCTAAAGAATGTTTATTTTGTAAATCAACTCTAACAAGAATAGCTCTACAATTATAACAGTCCAATTGTGACTTTGTGTTGCGTTGCTTAGAACTATCTAAAACTTTTGTTGGTTTTTTTTTCTAGCTCTTGACAGCAATTGCACAATGTCGTACTTTTTGTTTATAAGTTTATTATAAACTATGTCTTCAAGATCTTTCAGGTTCTATAGATTCTCTTGCATTTCACTCTGCTCTTAAAGTTTCTGTTTTTTTTCTTTAATTATACGTGTTAAGCATTCAATACATGTTTTTTTATTATTTTCAAATTCATTAATTTGTTTCAATTAAACAGAATAATCGGCTTTCACTAGTGAAATTTTTACGAAATATGGTTAAAAAAAAGAAATTTTTAAACAATCATTGTACGATACTATATTATAAACAAATATCGTCATAAATAATACTATTGCATTACTTTTTCGGAAGATGGTTTTAAACAGCGATTACGTAACTGATTTTGGTGGTCATGCTAGGTTCGTGGGGCAACCATGATGACGGAGTTTTAAAAAAATTGGATAGTTGCACAGAATCGGCCATTGCATATTCGTGCGCATAACGGGTAAATTTTTCGCGAAAAATGTATCGGATGCTGAAATTTATTCAAACCTTGCAAAAACTTAATTTTAATTTCCGTCAGAAAAACTCCATATAATTGGTGCTCCGGTTGCTTTCATGAAATCTAGAATAGCTGAAAATTTTTCTAATAAGTTACTGGCGTTGGCTGATGTCAACTCGGTCATTTTCATGTGTCAGAATTTATAGAAACAGCTGTAATGCAGATCTAACAATTTCATATATAATCCGATGGTCTCTTTATATAAGATAACGATCTCTGCAATATCTGCATAACATGTTTGTAGAGTTTATTCCATGCCATATAGTCTGTCGTATGATGACGCGCTAAAATACTAGTACTTGTAAAAAATCTTAACATTAATAACAAGTGAAATGCTTACGTAGATAAATGATAGTGATTTTTTTTATTGTAAGTAGTAAAATAATTCTATTTTTATTACAAATATCAAATTCTCATAAAAATGATCAAATGCTGATTTTTGCAAATAAAAAAAAATTGCCCCAGAGCCGATTTGCTGTGCACCAATCCATATGTCATTTTGCAATTAATCTTATGACTAAATACTAAAAACGTAAAATATATCTATGTCGTAGTTATTTTATTAACATTCAAAAATGTATGGTTTACCTATTCTTGAGTACTATGGGTTGACTGGTATTATTCGTTAATATGGTGTGAGCATTCTAATCACATCAAATTTATGCCACTTTATAATATTTAAGATGGTATTATCTATGGCAGATGCGTATAACAACCAATTAGCTATAAGTATGTGCATAACCCGCCGATCATTAGCGTGGCGGAACACCTGAATTTTTGTAACTATCGTTATTCCTCACAAAGCGAAATTTGTAAAAAAAAAATACGTGCTTTGTAAATCTTATCGCAACTATCAAATTACATTTTGTTTTTTTTTACAAATTCGTTGAAAAATAGCAATTTGAATGTCATTAGAGTGCTCGCACCATAATTAGACGTTCTTCTTGAATATTATTGATTAAACAGTTTAAACATTCTTAAATATTGTAGGTTGGAAGTTCCTTGATATTTCCTTTGGTGGCCGTTTACACTATAGGTGGGATCTAGCATTTGTAACAATTTTAATGTTCACAACCAAGTTAACAAAATTCTCACACAAAATCGCGGAAAGGTCATACAAAACAAAATGTTTCATTATATATTTTATAAAAAATAATTCTTGAGCCATTATGGCATTACAATACAAAGCTTACAGGCTACTTCTGTTAAGCTGATCGTAACTATACAAGCATAACTTTATTATTTATAAATGTGAAAATTCACGGAAAAGAATTAGCAGCAAGAGTATAAATGTTTCAAAATATTAATAATACTTATGTAATTGTTGATGAAGTTCTTCCTTAACACGATTCATCTGATGAAACAATAACCCAAGCATTTGTTGAAAGTTCACCATTTTTTCCACTTTTTTTACGTTGTAAAAGTTGAGCAGAAACGAAGATTTCTTTTTTAAAGAAGGCAATGGCAACCTCAACTATCACTTCGATATGACTTGCAGTATTTAACCGATAATTCTTGGCAACAATTTGGTCTAGCGCATTCTGAGTGCAATCTTTCATTTCCTTATAGTCTCCTGATTCAGCACGCTTAAACTCAAAAATGATACAAGTATTGAATTTATGGTTGACCGGGATAATGCGGACATCAGGACTACTAGTCCCACTTTCGCAATTGGACATAACCTGATAATCATCACTGTGATACATTGCAAGCGCCCCAAGGATAAATGTATGGTACCAACCCTCATATGACCTGGCTCTTTTAGAATAATCAAATATCATAACAGGAGATTATTTCCATATAAATAGCAGGAAATTGTTCGCAAAACATCTTGATATCTTTTTTGAATAACGAGTTGAATATCTCATTCGTCTTTAGCCGACTTATGCCTATGAAATCAATAATCCACATCTTCCATTGTTCAGCAACTTCCCTGTTTGGTATAGCAAGTTTGGCTTTGGTAAACATCCATTGTTTATCAACTTTATTATTAAGTTCATCATCGAATTTTACGGTCAAGTAACCACTATAACATAGTAATGTATAGATCGCATCTAGATTTGGCTCATCCTTGAGAATGTCATATCGGAGATATGGTATAAGATTCGCATTAACATGTTTTTGTAGCGAATCACTGTCTTGTAATGAATAAAATGAATAGTAAAGACTCTGGAGCTGATCTTCAATATTTTGTTTACATGTTTTTAGACATTCCCTAAGCGTGACTGTCGAACCACTAATTGCCCAGTAATTCCCAATAATACCCGCATTTAGAGACGATATAATTGAGTGTGGGTTGTAGAGACGATATAATTGAGTGTGGGTTGTAGAGACGATATAATTGAGTGTGGGTTGTAGATACGCACACCGATACTCGTTTGATATCCATTATAGTGGGAGTATAAATTATCGAGTTTAAAGTTCTGATTATTTTTAATTAAAAGAAGCTTGACTTCTTCTGTGAATCCAAACATATCTGAGTATTTGGCACGGCCGTATATACCGGGTAATTTATGTATTGGGTAATGCAGTCAGGCATATTACCAAAAATGGAAATCGATTCTAGATCGTTCCATTGAAATTTGATTGGCTACTTTTTG